AAAAAATATTCAAATATGGCAACACTGTGTGACCGATTATGGCTATTAAACAAGGGAAATAATGATATTACTTTTTTCCCCTCCAATTTTTATCACTTTCACACATCCACGTTTCTTATAAGGATTATCAGAACTTGTTGTCAAATAAACGTAATTATTTACGATTAATTCTATACTTTAGGTAAGAAATAGTATACCATATTGTAGTATTGTATCCGTAGAGTTTGAATTTGGATTCAAATTAATGATTTAACTATTTTTTGGTCGTTTTTTTGGGTGTTCGCACTTAGAATTGTATGTGATGAGTAGCTAGTGATTGAAAAGGGTGTTCATTCATTGGAATATCATTACGATTGCATTTTCCAATGAATGAACACACCTATTCAAAGTTTATAATTTATGAATAATTATTTATAGGTAATTAATAATTTTAATTAGGTACCTACTAAAACAAAAAAAATCATTTTTAAATTTCTATTCTCTCTTTTTTTCAATTTTTAAGCAGATAGTATAGAAGCTATTTTAAAATGGATTCAGTGGCAAAAAAAAAAGTACTGCAGATTTAATTACACTGAATATGATTTGTTAGTAGCTATAAATGCATTGAATAATAAAGATTTGTCTTTAAATAAAGAATCTCAATTGTATAATATACCCAAGAGTACCCTGAGCAACAAAATAAATAAAAAAGTACCTCTAAGTCGCCAATTAGGGCCAAAAACCGTTTTAACTTGTGAGGAAGAGACTAGAATAGTAAACTGGATAGTTAGCACTGCTAAATTTGGATTTCCGGTTCATGCAGAGGAAGTAAAGGATTCTGTTCAACTTGTTTTAAACGCATGTGAAAGACCTAATCCCTTTACAAATAATCGCCCTGGTCCTAAATGGTTTGAGCTGTTCTTGAAAAGACATAGTGAGATAACCAAACGAAATACCGAAATTATATCAAAAGCTCGTGCTGCAGTCACCGAAGAAAGAATTAGGGAATGGTTTTGTGAGGTCCAAAAGTTTATAACTGAACAAAACTGTATGGATATATTTGATGACCCTGCTAGAATTATTAATTGTGACGAAACAGGCATGCAAACATGTTCTGCCAGTGGCAAACTTCTCTGTCCTAAAAAAATGCCAGATTTTTATGAAATATGTGGAGGTTCAGAAAAAGAATGTATAACAGTACTATGCACTTTTTCCGCAGATGGCTATAAATTTCCACCGATGATTATGTTTCCCTATAAAAGTATACCAAAATTAATTGCAAGTACATTACCCGAAAACTATGTCATAGGTCGTTCTGATAGCGGTTGGATGGTTTCACCTGCATTTTTCGAATATATTGCTAATTTTCTCTATAATAATCTGGTTCAAAGACAAGTTAAATTTCCTGTGTTACTTTTTCTTGACGGGCATAAAAGTCATCTTAGTCTAGAGCTATCGGAGTATTGCATTAAAAAAGAAATACACATTTTTTGTCTACCACCTAATGCCACCCACATTCTTCAACCATGCGATGTATCAATATTCAAGCCATTAAAATCATTTTGGAAAAATTTTGTTCGTGAAAATAAAAAAGATAACGATGGAGAACACTTTAATAGACATGCAAAAATTATAACTAAATCCAATTTTGGATCACTATTTAAAAAGGCATTTGATAACATTACCATTGAATCTATTATAAATGGTTTTCGTGTTTGTGGTCTATACCCATTTAATCCTGATGCCGTAAATTATAACAAATGCATTTCTAATCGTTTTAAAGAGGTCAGTAATAATAGTGAACACGATAGTTTAAACGGCAATGAACGACCAGTAGCTTCATCTTGGGTACCTACAAAGTCTGATTTTGTCACCACAAAAAAAAAACCTTGCTCTATTTACTAGAAGCAAACGTAGGTAAAAATAATTTGGAAAAAGAACCGAATTGTTTAGAACAAATTTTAAGTATATGTGATGAGAGAATAGGATTGATTGAATGTAATACAGAGCAAGTAGTACAATTAGTTGAGAATACTCTAACAAATTCCGATATTTCGTTATCAAATTTAAATATTTTAGACATTCCAATTGAAATTGATGGCGTATTATACAACACTAGCGATATTGACCCATTAAATATCACCCCAGAAATACAGGTTACATATTTAACCAATGATAATGGGGAAAATGAACCAGATCTAGAGGAAAGCAATGGAAATCGCTATATCGAGGCTAGTAATAGTTTAGATGACTTATGGCTAAAACATATGCCATGGCCAACAAGTGCTGAAATGATCAATCCAAACAAAAAAAATAAAAAACCTCCTGTACCTTATGCCATAATATCTGAACAGTGGAGAAACATTCACGAAGAAAAAGAAACTGAGTAAAAGGAAAAACAAGAAGCAATTAGAAAAAGACGAGAAACCAGAATTCAAAAACTTAAACTTGCTGAAGAAAAAAAAATTGCAACAAATGAAAAGAAAAATTATGATAACAGTTCTACATCTGACTCTAAACCTGAACCTGTAGTTCCGCTAAAAAAATTAAGAAAAATTCTAAGTATATTTCATGTGATTATAAAGTTGGCGACTATGTTATTATTGAGTACGAAAAAGAATATTTCCCTGGAGTAATTAGAAAAGTAAAAAAAAAAATACAAATATACGAAATAAGTGCAATGGTCATGGTTGGAGCAGATTGGAAGTGGCCAGAAATTAAAGATGTGTTGTGGTATCCTAAAAGTTCAATTATACAAAAAATACTACAGCCCACTTTAGTAAACGTGGAAGAAAAAATATTCTGTGTACCTGAAATAACAGAATTGAGGGCAACGATACAGTTACCAAATACAGTTACCTAGTTACCAAAGATATCACATAGTTACCCAGGACAGTACCATATGTTAGCTGTTACCATAGTTACCAGACTAGTAATTGACTCGTACTTTGACAAATATGAAGTATGAAGTGAGAAATATTACAACAAAAATGTACCGGTTGGAAAATGTTGTAAGCGACCAGCAAAAAATAAATAATTCTTCTACAAAAAATAATTATCATCCTGTTGATGAAATTATTTACAAATTCCCGTTAACCAGCCTTGATGAATTAAACATATTTGGAGAAAAAATAATGGACAACGATTTTCGACAAAAAATGGTAAGAATGATTCAATTAAAAATGAACTTATCAATATACTATTATTATTATTAATATAAAATACCTCTATTATGTATTATTTTATACTATTTATGTGTAAAAAGCCCAATGGTGTTAATATCGATATATAAAAAATAAATAAATAATACATACACTTGCAAAATTATGATTTTCTTCTCATTAATTAAACTTAATATATTTTAATTCAGTTTCAGCTATTGTAAATATTAAAATATACACTGTAGTAGTGTAGTTTATTTTGTATTCATTTAATATAATATATAATTAATACACCTGTATAATATAATATGTTCACTTTTTTATAGATAACATTTTTAGTTCGACTAGAACGTACAACAGTGTCAGATATGACGCGTCAAATTATGTCAAAAGTGTTTCACAATAATTTGCTGAGCAAATTCTCATATAGCGGACAAAAAAAAAAAATGATTTTCTCTACTCTAAATTCTTGTGCCCTTATATTTGGTAATTATTATTTTTTAACTACCTATATTTAAGTTTGAAATTATTTAGAAATTAATAAATGGAAATTTCATATTATAATATATTATAAGATAATATTGTGTTTCATAATATGAAAATTGTATTACAATACAATACGGTTGTAATGTGCTTACTACTTATGAAAGTTCTAGTAGTTTTTATTAAAAATAATTCTAAATTACATTTTTTCTTATATTTTGTTTGAAATTTAGGAGTGGTTGTATAACCGCTTTAATATTTCCTCCCCCCCCCCATCCCATCATCTCTTCCTAATTTTACTAACTTATACCTATGCTATACCTGCATATTAAACCCTATAATATTTTATATACTTTTAATATATAAAATAAATATGTACCTATTTACATTTTACACGTGTGTTTCAGAAACCATAAGAACTGTACAAAATCATAAAAATTGTATTGATCAAGAGATATTGAAACCAATGAAATTTTATATGGCTAGTGTCAAGTTTCGAGAAGAAAAAAAACAAAACAAAAATAACAATTTAATTTCTTAATTTGTACCTTAAAATTTCATTTATTTAATTTACACAGTTAAACAGTTATTATTTATTTTTTTGTGATACACAAATCAAGATACTAGAATGTAACTAACAATGTAAAAACCCTTTCCGTAGTCATTAAGCTATAATATTTTTTGTCTTGTACTCTTAATTCAAGCTAGGCTAATGACCTGTGATGTCGAAGCCTTATTTTCAAATAAAAAAAAAAAAAAAAAATAGTATTGTGTTTATTATTTATAATCTATAACTAAATTATGTAGCAATTTATATCACTTAATTATTATTATATAATATAATACTATAAATAAATATATATTTAGTATGGAAACCCAACTGGATATTTTTTTTGAATAATTTTTTTAGATTCTGAGTGAAACGATGAATGTATTGATTTTACAATGATGTGTGTTTTTTTTTTATTTTTTTTTATTTTTTTTGTATCTGTGTACACGATAAGTAGTCGAAATAATGCTTCGATTTTCGACTTCAGTATCTTGTTCGATTGGAAAGTGAATATCGTTGGTGCATTGGGGAGGTCAAAATTTAAAATTACCAGTACTTTTCAAAAGCGCCAAGAAAAACAAAAGAAAAATTAAGGAAAAACGGGAATTTTTACGCAAAATCGATTTTTCAGAAAATTGAATTTGGTTTTTGGTGTAACTTTAAAACAAATGACCGTAGGTACATGCAATTTTCACTGGTTGTTTATATTTGCATCTTCTATACACGATAACATTTTCAAAATATTTTGATTTATTTTGAACAGTTTAGGGACATTTTCATTTTAATTTTTTTTTAGTTTTTTTTCTAGAAATATCAATAAAATTTTATTTGTTGGTTGCGAAAGCTTGAAAATTTAATAGAAGGCTCCTAATATATTGTTTCAAAGGCAGATGAAAAATATTAAAAATCCTTAGTCACAATTTTTTTTTATAAGCATTTAAAGTTCAAAAATTGACAAAATATGGAAAAATCACGAAAATTAGCAAACTATTTTGAGATAAGAATTCGTAAAAATTTTTCCTTTTAAATCTAAGATTTGAAAATGTAATACAAGATTACTCATAAGTTTGTCTACCTGTATCAATAAAAAAATCTCTACCGGACAGTTAAATTAAATTTTTATGAGCGTTTGAAATTCAAATTTTTACAACATTGGATATTCACTCGATTTCTCATGTAGCGATTTCCTTATTTTGTTGTAATTCAAAAACGAATATTTGTAGATACATGAAAATTTCACTGAATGTTTATATTAGCATTTCCTATACACCATACGATTTTGAAAATATTTTGACTCTTTTTGAGCTGTTTACGGACATTTTCATTTTTCAATTTTTTTAGTTTTTTTTTCTATGAATATCAATAAAGTTTTATCTGTTGGGCCAAAAAGTGTAAAAATTTAATACAAGGTTCCTGATATATTGTTACAATATCAGTTGAAAAATATTAAAAATACATAGGCACAATTTTTTTTTATAAGCATTTAAACATCGAATTTTGACAGAATTTTTCAAAATCTCGAAAATTATTAATCATCGTAATTAATAAATTATAAAATATTCAGTTTTTATAGCTAAGGATTGAAAATTTAAAACAAGATTCCACGTAAGTAGTTAATTCTCTTACCAAAAAATCTAAAAAATATACAATCACAGTTTATTTTATAGTCATTTTATGTTCAAATTTGGACGAAATTACATATTAAAAAACCTAGTTATTTGGTTGTGATTATATAATATTATTCGTGGGTACCTACTTGAAACTTCTAAAGTGTACTATTATATATCTATGATAGTATCAGGGTTTGTTATTGATGTTGATGTATAACGTGTTATAAGTACCTAATGGATATTGTGATAATATGATATGATTAATTTGGAATATATTATAGGTCAATTTTTTTTTTTAATACCATAGATATGTATATAATTTGTCTTAAACCTAGACTGACATACCGTCTTCGCTCAGAATCGTTTTTCTTATACAATGATATTGTATCATTGAATTCAAATTTAAAAGCATCCATTATACAGTGACCCACTTGTAACCTACTGTACAGCAGAGCGACATCCACTTACCCACCTTTTTTATTTTGCCCTTAAGCTTATTTATTACTGCCCGTATTACTAGCCATTATGCATTCACTATATAAATGGATAGGTATCTGAAACAGAAATTTAGTGCATTTCTATTGTAACATAATCTGATCTAGTTAATTATAATTTTTAGTCTAGCTTATCCTCCTTACCAAAATTTCTTATTTTGCCTCGGTAAATGTTATTTAAATCTTATGTAACATCATTAATAAATACTTCTTTTTGAGTCCATATGTATATTATATTTTTCTTAACAACATTTTATTTATGTGTATGCTTATTTATGAATTAATCATTAGCAGATACTTTAATGATAATTATTCCCTATTTCTTTGAAATATTAAATATTATAAATATATATATTCTGTTATATTATTATTTTATTGCCAGAAACAGTGTAAAGAGACGAAATAATATCTGAAAATAATATACTGAGAGTTGTATGAAAATGATAGAAATCTATTTAAACACGAATAAAACAATATATTACATATATTTGTAGTATATAATATAGTATGTTTCTAACAAAATGTGTCTTAAAAATAAATTGAAAATATTATCAACATAATTTTATTAGATTTTAAAAATATCAGAAAAATATATTTTAAAAACATCTATTTAGAAATGTTTTAAATATAATTTAAAAATATTTTGAAAACCATTGCAAAATGTTTTGATGACTATTTTTGCCGGCCAAAAAACGTTTATAAAACAAATAGAAAATGATTGATGACGATTAAACTATGTTTGTAAAATAACAATTACTTTCCAACAGATATTTTAAAAATATTTAGAAAACCTAATTTGGCTATGTCCCCAGGTATTTTTTTTTTTTTTATTTCAAGTCGAAATATACAATCTATATCAGATGACATAATAAGCATATATGATAAGGTACAGATAACATGAGTATACAAAATACAAGAAAAAAGTGAGTAAAGAAGCCACCCAATGATGACACTTTAATGTTGATAGTTATGTATGAAAAAGTATATGTATTAAATAATATTTAATTAGTTAATATTTTTTATTTTTATTTTTATTTCTATATTAAAATTTATAACAGGTCTCTGCACCATTTACGTTTTAAACGTCTGGGAGGACTGCCGGCGATTGAGAGGGAGGAAAGGTTTTTAATTAAAGGATTTGAGTGGGAGGAAAGACGGTTGTGGAATCTTTTGTAAAAGTGTTTGGCTTCCTCGTGGATAGTTTTTAATTTTAGGTCAGTATGGAGAGTATGGTTAGATATGTATTGGGGAGCATTTATTAATTATCTTAGCCCAATGTATTGAAAACATTGAATTTTATTTAAATTTGTCTTTTTTGCACTACCCCATATCTGTATCCCGTACGTCCAGATTGGTTTCAGTAGTGTTTTGTAGATGAGGAGTTTGACATGAAGGGAGGTGTGTTTATTAGATACTAGAGGTTTCAGGATACGAAAGCGGTTGTTCAGTGAAAGTCTTTTTGCTCTAATATGGTGGGCCCAAGTTAATCTTTTATCTAAGGTGAGACCAAGGTATTTGACTGAAGGAGAGGATGGGATTGGAGCACCGTACAGAGTTACCTCAGGGGTAAGAGCTGATCTAAGCGTAAAGGTGGTGTGTATAGACTTGCTATGGTTTAATTTAAATCTCCATTTGGTATACCAATTGTCCATAAGGTTTAGGTGAGTTTGAAGGTTTGCGGAGGCTATGAACGGATTGTCATTCATAGATATAATTACCTTGTCATCGGCATAATCTGCTATTGATGTATATGGTGTGATTGGTTGATCTGCGGCGAATATAATGTAGAGAATGGGGGATAAAATGCCACCCTGTGGGACCCCAGCACTTATACTGCCAATACTTGACGTGTCAGACCCGTATCGTATTTGGAAGGTACGTTCAGTTAGGTATGATTTGATTAGAAGATAGAAGGGTGAAAGAAGAAATGTTTATAGTTTATGGAGGAGACCATCGTGCCAGACTCTATCAAAAGCTTGTGATATGTCTAAGAAAGCTGCTGTACAAAATATTTTTTTTTTCCAGAGGGAAAGATATTGCATCTACTACCCTATGCAGTTGATGGGTCGTCGAGTGCGAAGAACGAAAACCAAACTGGTAGTCTGGCAGAACTTTCTTGTCAGAAATTATTGGTAGGATAGGTTTAAGTATAAGTTTTTCTAGAACTTTCGCAAGGCAGGGAAGAAGACTTATTGGTCTATAGGAAGAAGTTTCATCAGCTGGCTTATTTGGCTTATGGATCATAATGATTGTCGAGAACTTCCATAATAGTGGAAAATAAGATAATCGGATTATTGAGTTGAAAATATGAGTAATATTAACAATGGCTCTTTTGGGGAGACATTTAACTACTTCGGCCGTGATTAGATCGTAGCCTGGAGATTTTTTTGTGGGTATTTTTGGATTTGATATTTTAAATCGTTAGGAGAGAAGGGTTTAATTGGGAGAGAGGATTGAGGAGGGACACTGAGAGACCTATTGACCAGTGATATAGTATCAGGATCAAATATATCTGGATGAGGCAGGAATATCTCAGAAAGATGTGTTTTGAATAGTTCAGCTTTTTCAGAGTCCGATGGCGTAAGACTGCCGTTATGTTTTATTAAAGGGAGGTTAGGGGCTTTATATCGGAGAATTTTTTTTGGGTTTTCCACAGACTGCCATCTTTTGAGGAGAGATTAGTAAGATTGTTAACTATCATTATATTTTTGTGTTTTGCGAGGGTTTTCTTCAAAGAGTTTGCCAGTTGGTTGTACATTTTTTTATGTGAGGGTAAACGAGTGCGTTGATAACAGGCTCTAGCCTTACGCTTTTCAGTTATGAACGTTCTTATCACTTCAGGAAGTGGGTTAAAAATATGAGGAGTGGCGGAATTTGCATTTGTGGCAGACCACGCCGCCATCTGTATAATGTTAGTTAGATCCTTAACCGCTAAGTCAATATCGTCAGGTGTTTTGAGTTTGATATTTAATTTAATATTTTCATTTACATTATCATGAAATTTGGGACGATCAGTGAAACGATTGAATAGGTTAGGCGATGTTAGTAGAATTGGGGGAGAGGTATTTAAAGTTAATAATACAGAGGATTGATCAGAATTTAAATCAAGGATATTTGTTGTGTTATTATAAAGTGAATTGGGTAATTTAGTGACGAAAATATCAAGTATGTCCTGTTTTTTTTTTTGAGAGAAGATGGCCAGTACGTAGAGAGGTGCAAGTACTTTGTATTTTTTTAAGTTTATAAATATGTAAAGCGTAGTACCTCGAGGATTGCCTGTGCGACAGCCCCACGATTGGTGTTTCGTATTAAAATCTCTACCCACTATGAAATTATTTTTAATTGTGTTGAAAAATTCAGTAAACCTAGAGGTTGTTATATTATGTTTGGGGGGGGGGGGGAGTAAATTGCCACAATAGTAAAGTAAGTAAAGTTTAATTTAATTTGAATTGAGCAAGATTGACAGAAGTCTTGGGAAAAACCAGGCAAAGGATGGTAAGTAATGGATGACTTAACATATATAGCCACGTCTCCGTGTGCCGTATTATCAGGATGATTTGTATTAATCAATTTATAACCTGGGATATATGTTTTAGAATTATTAGTGAAGTGAGTCTCAGAGATGAGGGCAATATCAATTCGTTTGTTGTTTAATACAGTTTCGAGTTCGTGAGCATGATATCTAAGGCCATTTACGTTGAATAGTAATATAAGTAGGGAGTTGTCGGTGACAGAGTTATTGTTATAGTTGTTATTTAGCATTTTAATCAAGTAGGCAGGAAATTACTTTAGTGAGAAGGGAAATTAAAGGATTAATGAGAGACTTAAAGTCGTCTATGAAACTTGACATTATCTTATTAATATCAGGAGGGGGAGGAATTGTGTTACGGTGGACGTAACAGTCCAAGGCGATCAGCTGCAGAATTGTTCTAGTCCGCCAGTGCTGTCAAGGAGCAACCAGAATTGTTCTAGTCCGCATATGCTGCCAGGGAGCAACCAGAATGATCTTGCACAGAAATCAACGGTGTCCTCCGGCATTGATAGTAATTTTATCAGTAGCAACAATGTGCAGCCGCAAAATGGTGATACAAATAGTGTTTTAGCCTTATTGTTGGAGCAAAATCGGCTTCTTATGAACCAAGTGAATGAATTTATGCAACAACGTTCGGCACCGAGTCCGGTCAGCGTTCATAGTATCGGATCAAATAGCTACTACGTAATGCCGGTCTTTCTTCAGTCATTGCCTGACTTTGTCGATAAAGAATCTCACGCTGAAGCGTCGAACTGGATTAAGGGCATCAATTCAACTGCTGATTTGCATAGTTGGCCAGATACTTTAAGCTCGAAATTGTACGAACAAAACTTAAAGGTGCTGCTCGTAATTGGTACTTGGGATGACATTTTTCTTGTTGGGAACACTGAACAACAGTTCAAAGATGCTTTTATTGGCACCCTAGCATCAATTGTTGACCTTACGAAATTGTTAATTGCTCGTCAACAAAGAAAAGGCGAAACCATTACCGAATATTTTCACGACAAAGCTCGTATGTACCGAGAGCTCAAATTTGACTTTGAATCCAAACGGCAAATTATTGAAGGTATTCGCGTGAACTGTGTATTTATCTATTGAGTAAAAGCCACAAAAATGAAAATGAGTTACTGATTGATATTGTTACGTTCATGAAGATAAATGATTCCCGAACTGCGCGTTTCAAGAATGTACCACGACCAGTGCAGGCAGAAGTATTAACTAAAACTGATAGCCCTAAGTCTATAGTAGTAAATAAGCTTCCAAGTTCAGCTGTGAATCCTAAACATTCATCTCAAAAGGTCAAAGCTCGATGTTACAACTGTGGATCGTTCGAGCACATCTCACCAGCTTGTACTAAGCCGAAACGACCAAAGGGTTCGTGCTTCAAGTGTGGGTCTGCAGATCATCAGATTAACCAATGTTCTTCAGATCAGTTTCCAGCCGACAGTCAACATCAGCAGGCTCCTAGCAACTCAGCCATGGTATTGCAGCAGTCAGATGTGGTAACTCCAGCTTATGTTATAAATATAGATGTAAAATTTAACAATAGTTTGTTATCAAACATCTTGGCAGTTGTAGATACTGGTAGTCCTATAAGTTTAATTAGGGAACAAGTGTTACCAGAACACACTAAAATTGTAACAAGTCCAATTAACTCTGGTATTGTAGGTTCAGAATTGATAATTTTAAGTCAGATGTATGTAGATGTTTTTCAGCCTAATATTGGCGATCCACTAAATATTAGATTAAATGTAGTGCCTAACGACACAATTAAATGTTATTGTTTACTGGGTAGAGATTTTCTGTCGCATCCAAGGGTAATTTTTGGAGTTAATAATGGTAGTTTTGAAATTGAAATTAAACGAAGTGACATAATATAATTTAATGAAATTCTTAACTTTGAATATGAAAGATGGCAGTATTGATCTTAAGCTGGACCATACTTTACCTGAGCATATTAAAGTGGAAATGAATAATATATACAAACAATTTTATTTGGATAATGCTAGTGAGCAGGATTATGAACCATTGGTTAGTGAACCTTTGCAGATTGTTTTAAAACATCAGGATGTGTTTAGCATCCAACCAAGACGATTATCATATTATGAAAAAAATTAATTACAAGAAATAATAGATTCCTTACTTAAAAATGGTGTGATTAAAGAAAGTAACTCAGAATATAGTATTAATATAGTGTTGGTGAAGAAGAAGTCTGGTGAACTGAGATTGTGCGTTGATTATAGAGAACATAACAAGAGATGCTGTAGAGATAGGTATCCAGTTCCACTAATCGACGACCACCTTGACCTATTGAGAGGGAAAAAATATTTCTCAAGCCTTGATTTAAAAGATGGTTTTTATCATATTGAAGTGGCCGATTCATCTAGGAAGTACACATCTCTTATATCTCCATTAGGCCAATCTGAATTTTGTAAGATGCCATTTGGACTTTGTAATGGTCCAAGTAAGTTTCAAAGATTTGTCAATAGTATTTTTAAAGAACTTGTTATAACAAATAATTCAATCAATATTGGAAGCTACAATTGGATCTTTTTTGACATTTAATTCAATTTCGTTATGTTTTAATTTGATTATTTCATCTTTTGATCTACATTTGTCACTAATTACTTCGTTTATTAGTTTCCATGTTAATTTCGGGTTAGAACTTACATTTTTAAACTTTTGTTCATAAAATTTTATCTTTGCTAACCTAACGGAATTCGTAAAGTAATTTTTGTATTTTTGTAGTGTAAAGCTAAACATTGATTGTTAGGATGTTTTTTACATTTAATTGATAGATATTTTTTACGGTGGGCTGAGATTAATAATTCGTTAGTCATCCACTCTTTTAAACGTTTATTTTTATCGCTTATTAATCTACACGTTGTAGATGTATCAATTGCAGATTTAATTTTAGAATCGAAAACGGAATAGCATTTTAATAACATCACTAATTTCATTATATACTTCAGCCCATTTTCCATTAGCTAATATAGATAACAGAAGATTGTAATTAATTGTACTAAACATTTTATTTTTTTGAACAAATTCAGTATTGATAGGAATTGAGGTACATACAGTACAGTGATCACTGTATCAGTGATATCAGTTAAAATGACACCGGAATTAATTTTAGTCATTAGGTAATCGTTCCCATTAATAAATATATGGTCTAAACATGCATGATTAAAACCAATAGGTAATCTTGTGTAAACATTAATAAAAGAGACATATTGATTTTCTGAAAGCAAATTTAAATAACCGTTATTATTTTCTTTTATACCAATTATGTTAATATTCATATCACCAGTGAGAACTGTTATCGCATTATTTATTTTGGAATCATCAATTACTCTCAATAAAGCATTCAAAAAGTTATTACTATCCGAAATGGGTGACCTATACATACATACTAAATTTATAGGCACTTTTATATTTCATATATAAAGTTTTAAAATATTTACATCTACAAAATCATACTCAAAAAATTCAACAATTAACGTGCTTTTAGCAAAAACTATAACACCATCATTTTGGTTTCTTTTTATGGAGAAACAATGCTAAAGCCATCTATTAAATAATCACACGATAAAAGATTATGCCACGTTTCGGTTAGAACAATTACATCAATGTCCCTATATTTAGCATCATTTTCCAGAAACAATAGAAGCTCATCAAAGTGAGCATTTATACTCCTAATGTTACAACATATTATATTAAGATAATTACAAGACGCATTATTATTTATATGTACAAATTTAGAAAAATAATAGTTTGTTCTGTAATTTAAACAATCTTCACAGACGTTTTCCATAAAAAATGTAAACATATGAATTTAATACTGATAAATGGCTATGCACCTACAGAAGACAAGCAACAAGACGAGAAAGAAGCTTTTTATGAAGACCTGAACACGATATTCGAATCAATTGCCAAAAGCCAACCGAAGATTATCCTTGGAGATTTCAACGCTAAAATAGGAAAAGAAGAAATGTATAGACCAACAATAAGAAAAGAAAGCCTCCATACTCATTCTAATGAAAATGGAAACCGACTAATTAACTTTGCAATCTCTAAAGGACTAAGGATAAGTAGCACGTGTTTCCCACACAAAAACATCCATAAAGAAACATGGGTCTCACCCGGAGGTAGTACCAAAAACCAAATTGATCATATCATGACAGATATGAAGATAAACAATATTATAGAAGATGTCAGGAGTCTTCGTGGAGTGTCTGCTCAGTCAGACCACTTCTTAGTTAAAGCTAAAATACAAATTAAACTACCTCGTAAATGGAGAAAAAGAATAATAATAGAAGAAAAAGTTGATATAGATAACATAAAAAACTCTGAAATGTTAAAAGAATACAAAAATAAACTAAAGAACAAATTAAAGGACGGAATAGAGGGAGAAAATATTGAAACCCGTTGGAAAAAATTAGAAGGAATAATAAAAACAACTGCTTTGGAACACCTAGGAAAAAAAAAAAAGTACAAAAGCATAAATGGTTTAACGATAAGTGTCAAAGCGCAATTGAAGAAAGGGATAAAGCGAGATCATTGATGCTTACAAACCCAAACACAGAAAACAATAACAATTTTGCCCAGAAGCTTAGAGAAGCTAAACGTATAATAAGAAGGGAAAAACGATTATGGGAAAAGGAAAGAATAAAACAGATTGAAGACAACAGGACGAACCTGAAACTCTTCTTTAAACAAACAAAAGAATTAAAAACGGGGTATAACCCCAGAACAGAAATAATGAAAGAAGAAAATGGAGAACTTGTAACAGAAGGAGAAGAAATTGCAAAACAGTTTGGGAAAGTGTTCGAGGAACTACTCAACCCACAAACGCTCCAAGACCATACGCAAATTGAGTACTATACAGCAGAACCTGAATACGTAGAACCAACGGACGACGAAGTTAGAATGACCATAAACACACTTAAAAACAATAAATCGCCAGGTGAAGATGGCTTAGCTTCAGAACTCTTAAAATAAGGTGGTGAGGAACTAATAAGAGAAGTAGGGAAATTAATCAGAGATGTATGGCATAAAGAAGAAATACCAAAAGAATGGCAATTAGCAATAATATGTCCAATTTATAAAAAGGGAAACAGATCAAGATACCAAAATTACCGAGGAATATCGTTGCTAAATACAATGTACAAAGTATTGTCAGGTCTCATACTAAACAGAATAAAACCTTACATAAAAGATATCATTGGGGACTACCAGTGTGGTTTTATGAGTGGTAAATCCACCATAGATCATATTTTCACTGTTAAACAACTAGTTGAGAAACATTATGAATTCGACAATGATCTACATCTACTATTTATTGACTATAAACAGGCTTATGATTCAATTAATAGAGAAGTACTATGGGACACACTTATAACCTTTGGGATACCAGCTAAGATAGTGAAAATGATCAAATTATGTATGAATAAAACCAGATGTAAAGTTAGATTCAATCAGCATAATATATCAGATGAATTTGAAGTTAAGACTGGACTTCGACAGGGAGATGCCCTATCCCCAATACTCATTAATATAGCTTTAGAAATGGTAGTTAGAAAAACTCAGAAAAAATATGGTGGGGTAAACTTGGAAGAGAACAGAAGACAATGCGGAGTACTAGCGTACGCAGATGATAGTATCATTTTGGGATCAGACAGTCAAGAAGTCAAAGCAGGAACCAAAGAACTAATAATAAACAGCAAAGACATTGGACTACAAATAAACGAAGGGAAAACCAAATATATGGTAATATCTAGGCGAGAAAATCACGAGGAAAATTTAGAAGTTGAGACATATAAATTTGAAAGAGTACAAAATTTTAAATACCTGGGTGTTACAATAAATAGCAAAAATAATAATCATGATGAAATTAAAATAAGACTAACTGCAGCAAATAAATGCTATTACGGAGTAAAGAGTATACTAAAATTAAAATAGGTATCACTCAAATCAAAAATCACAATATACAAGGTAATTATCAGACCAGTCCTTCTATATGCATGTGAAACATGGCCAACGACTAAAGGAGACGAAGACAAATTAGCAATACTCGAAAGAAGAATATTTGGGCCAAAAATAAATAACATGACACAACAATATGAGAAAAGAAACAATATATAAATACAACAGTTATATAAAGAGCCAGACATAGTAGCAGTATTAAAAAATAGGAGAATGGCATGGGCCGGTCATGTATGGAGGTCAAATGGTCTTATGAAAGAAGTTTTAAAATGGAAACCCCAGGGGAAAAAACCACTTGGCAGGCCGAAACAAAGGTGGATCGACAAAGTGGAGAAGAACTTAGCAGAGATCGGAATACGAGATGGAGAAACAATAGCACAAGACAGAGACAGATGGAAGCAAGTTTGTGTTGCGGTAATGGGCCTCAATGGCCTTTAAAAACCGAAGAAGAAGAAGAAGAAGACGTTTTCCATAAGGGAAAATAAAATAATAAATACGTTACAAAAAACAAAAAATTAAAAAATTATTTTAACTTATTTAGAGATAACTCACTATCAATTACTATAGCTTTTGATAGTTCGTTTTTTTTTAGGAACAATTTATTGTCTTTGAACCAGACAAATTTGTAACCAAAATCACGGGCAAATGATTTATTTATAAAAAATAGATTTCTGTTGAATGGCGTTAAATTATCGTTGATATAAATAGCTTCATTCTTCCAGGTAACATCGACACTATTACCTGTTGGTTTGATTTTCCTAGAGTTTTCAATCAGCTCTTTCTTGTCTCGTTTCGAAGATAGTTCAGCTACAATTTTCTTAGATTTGGTGTTGAATTTTGATTGAACACGATACGCATTGATGACATCAATTTCCACCTTTAACGATTTTGCAAT